GACAACGAGGTGCCAGTAACAGAAGATGCCGCTGATATGAAAATATAATCTAAGAAAATACATGGGTCTAAAAATGGATTTGAGAAGGACCTAACATTCCAAATGCTAACACGCCAGATGCTGTGCGTGCCGGTGCGGCCACCACCAATCTTGGGCACGTAGTCTGATCCACACTTCACGACGAAAACGGAAACGCCAAAATGTAGTGTTCATTGATGACCAAAAAAGGGGTGTAACGTCTAAGGCTAAGAAAGGCAGAGCCTATACAGTGTAGACCATTCCAATATTTACAAGTCCTCCGCCCAGCGTACCATTTCCTCAGCCCGGCCCACTCATGTTCGTCACTTTGGAAAGCGAGCAAAGCACGAACACTAAAAATAAAAGCATGGAGCCCCGACTGGTGCCCCATGCACGCAAGCACATACAACGTGCCCGTGAACGCAGTTTTGGCAAGCTTGCAATTTTACGGGCGTGCCCGCACGAGCAGAAGCATCGCGGCGGCCAGGCTAGCGGACACAGTGCTGCAGCCCCGTGCTGTTGTGAGAGCACGTGGCCTGTGTTGGAGGGTTGGAGTCCCACGCGCTCAAGCAAGTTTTTTAGAGCACTGCAGAAGCCATGCTAGCTCAGTCACGTGGGTATGCGGTATGAGAAAATAATAAAATATTCCAACCCGGAATATGCGAAAAAATATAGGTGAGGCAAAACAAGAATGTGTGACAATCACTCACTTTTCGTGAACACCTTCCAGCGGCGTGGAAAGTTCAAAACAATGTTTTACCGCATACCAGAAGTGACGACATTCAAGATGACTGCGCCCTTCTGGAAAAAGTCCGCCGCCATGTCTTTGCTCGTGAGGACAAGCCCGTGCAATTGCAAGCTTGCCAAAACTGCGTTCACGCACAATCAGCTGAAGCAATTAGGTGATGCCAAGCTAAGAATTTGAGACAGACACCAACTGGCCTTTTTCTGGTACTTGCCCAATTAAAAATAACCTTGAGTCCAATTAAGATATTCATTTGAAACCAATGAAATTAAATTGGTTCTGGGTTATCAAATTGGTCATTCTAATTGACTTCAGTGTTTCCATCGGTTACCCTGATTGGGACCAATAAAATTCAATTGGCACTTGGACACCTAATTGGTCACTTTAATTGGGTTCACTGTTTCCAACTGGTTACCCCAGTTGAGATCAATAAAATTCATTGGGACGCCTAATTGGGTTCAATATTTCCAATTGGGATCAATAAAATTCAACTGGCACTGGGTAACCTAATTGCATGGTCACTCCAGTCGGGTTCATTGTTTCCAATTAGTGCTGGGTTACCGAATTGGTCATTGTAATTGGTCTCAAGATGTAGTATGTGCAATTGATGGCTGGATACTTTATAAACATAATGGATATATACTGTACCGTTCTAAACAGATCCTTCCATTTTCTCTCTCTCTTCACGCCAAAATAAGTGTTCAAAAATCACGTTATGTTCTGTTGCCAGATTGTGCAAGAATATTTTTGGTTTCCCAGGATGTTTGGATAATGTGTAATATACGAAACTACTTGGTGATCTTGCAGCATTTTGCGTCAAGTATCTTGAGTTTCGGTTTCTTAGCATTCCCAGAACATGGACGCTTTGCCATTAAGTGCGATACGGAAACTTCGTTGTTTCCTTACTTCCGATTACCCAGCGTGGACAAAGGACCATGCCGTCATGCCTATCTCTGAGTACACTTTTAATTCTATTTTCGATGTGAATACATGGGACTCGAGATTAGTTTTTTTTTTTAGTTGTTACTGGCAAAAATTTTTTTTTTTTTGTGGGGGAAGTTACGTGTTTTTTTTTAAAGGAAACTGTGCCCTAGGAAATATTTTTCAGGCGTTGCAAAAAGCTAAAATTGGTTTCAGATAGCATTGACCTCAAGCAAAGTTGACGGATGTTGTGCTATTAATGAAGATTTGTTCAACCCTGGCAGAATATCTGAATTGACCTCAAAACTACCCGCCGAGCTTCCTTGCACTAAACAAAATTTCTACTTCAACTGCAAAAAAAAAAAAAAAAAAGAAAAAAAAAGGAGATTGTGAAAGGAAGTTGGCACTGCTCGTGTTGCTCCACTTGACGTCCGCAACATAAGTTTTCGCCGCCGCCGATATCGGAGTTTTGTCGAAGTGGCATTCGACAAAAAAAAGAGCGAAATCCCGTCTCTCTGAGTGTTGAGCAAAGAGACACGACGTCCGTGTCCGTTGGCTTTCCATTCTACATGACCGCGCTTTAAATATTCAGTATATTGTATCAACAATCTCTCCTGTTTAGTTTTAGAGATGTTTTACAAACCTCGTTTACCGACGCCAGATCATAATATACGTCATGAACCAATTCGCCCGCTTCGCTACTTTAGCTCATCAAGATAAGCGCGAGCAAGTGTGTTCCTATTTGTGTGCAAAATCGGGTTTGCCGCCGGCGACTTTTGAGCCATCAGGATGTGTTTGGGCAGTGCCTCCTATATAAGTTACACTATGCCTGTCAGCTCCGGGCACTGGCAAGCGGAAGGAAGAGGGCAAATTGTACGTGTGGTTGCCGTGCGGTGGAGCCACCTAGGCGTACAAACCTGCTGTGTAGTGATGCCAGCCACCTCTTCCGTAAGAGGTTCAATGATGTCACCCCAGCAGCACCGGCAGCGAGAAATTTAAATGTTTTTGACTGACAGCTCGGGACCAGCTCGCCATTTTCCAACGGAATATTATTTCTCCTTTTCCTACTACATTTTCACCCGCACTCGACTCGGCGCCAACTATTTCTATGCGCGCGATTCAGGGTGACCGCTAAAGCCCCAAACTGCCGCCAAAGCAGACGGTCAAGCGGCCAAGCGTTCTCCGCGTTCGCGCTACAAAAGCGAAGCCTGGTCGCGCTTGTTTCGTAGTTTCGTATTTTGTCTCAGCGGATCTCGTTTGAATCAGGGCGGTCGGATCCAGAACAGTGTTCCTCATGTCGTTAAAAAAACATATATATGATATATCTTCAATAATAATGTAAACACAACATGCTGGAAAAATAGAAAAAACGAACGTCCGCCAGGCGGCACTACCTAGCCGTACGTGCGTGTTGTGAGGTGAAGCATCGGGCCTGGACTAGGGGTGTCGCGAACTTTTGTCGAACCAGATTTTTAGGTCGAACTTTCGGGGTTCGACTGGGTCGAACCGGTTCGACGAACCTTCGAACTTTTCAACAGATTCGACCGGTTCGACTTTGTGGACAGTGTGGCCAGACCCTGATACAAGCATATCTAGGTTTGGAGGATGCTTTTTAAGAAAAGGGTTATTTTATTTTATAAACGGTTGCAATTAAGATAAACTAATTCTAATCACTGAAGAGGTTAATAACTTAATTTTTTTTGTACTGTATTAAGTGAAATAACCAATCAGCGCTGCCCTTAATTTATCCCTTAGCCATTACCATCCAATCCAAAGCCAACTGGCCAGCCTGTCGCGCATGCGCACACGAGTCGAACCTCAATACAAGGTTTGTCGAATTTTCCACTAAAAGTTCGAAAAAGTCGAACCTGGTCGACCTCGAACCTCGGCCGGTTCGCGACACCCCTAGCCTGGACACATCTTAGAGAGAAGCTGACAGGCATAGTGTAACTTATATAGGAGGCACTGGTTTGGGATAAACATGCATGCATCTTATTTGATTAATGTAAAACGCCAAAGCTCGCGCTGAGAACGTATGATTTTTGTTGGAAAACAAGTTACCATGTACGGTCGAAGCCTTGTTTTATTCCTCGAGAATAGAAATCTGGAAAACGGAAAGACCTCAAAAAGACGGGAAACAACACCCGCGGAAGCGAGCTCCGCAAGTGTTGCTTCTCCGCCGTGCACCGCGTGCTCGGAAAGAAGCGAGCTCAACGGGGCCGCGTGTACAAAAAGTATGAATTTCACGAAAACGCCATTTGAAATAAGCGGCTTCTTAAAAACATAGCGGGACAACCAATTTTTTTTAAAATTTGTTTTAATATAAATCATCTAAAAGCCCACAAATTTAAGTAATTAGCAGCACAGCATGAAATTAATTTTGTTGTGAGTTTTGTCCCACAAGGGCAAACCTACTACCAAAAAACTTCGTTGTGTTCAAATTGTGCTTGAAGTGTGTATAAGATGGACCCATAATCCTTCCACAAGTGCTTTTGAAAAACATATGAATGTAGTATTTTCCTGGTAATCTGAAATTATTTAGTATCAGCAACAGTGCGCACCTTAAAAAAAAGAAAAGAAAAAAAGAAAACATTAGGAGCGTTTCCTGCAAAGCACTCGGGACAGCCAATCTCTGCCATCTACGCAGGGAGCTAGGCGAATAACGAGGCTGAAAATATATTCAGATCTGAAAATACCGTTTGAACCCTGACAGTGGGAATGACGTTACACCATTCGTCACAGTGCGGAGTGTTTGCTTAGGTTTAAACATATTTTTAGCCTCGTAGTTTGCCGATTGCAGGGATTGGCTCTCCCGAGTGATTTGCGGGAAAGTGGACGCTCGAGATTTGGTAACGTGAAACGTTCTTTGACTAGGTATCGGAATTTCGTGAAGCCTGGATAAAAGCGTGGCCGTGAGGCTCGACACTGATTGGTTGACGGCTGGGAGTGAAGAAGTGAGGTGCTCCACGCTGACTGGTTAACGGAGATGTCATGTGAGCAGAGGGGTAGGCGAGGAGGATCTCGACCCCCCGTGCACACTGAAAGGGAGGAGCTCGAGGTGTATAGAAAACTCTGGAAAATCGCCAGGTTTATCAGCCCGATTAGCGCTAGCATCGCTTTATTCTAGAAACAACTATCAAGTGTACATATGATACGCGCTAAACTATCTGATCATGAGCGCCGTGAATGTAGGCGTCTGGAAACTAAAAGTGTCGCTAAACGTTTGTGATGTATAGAACATTTCACCTATTTTTGAGTGTGACTGTACGCTTCGAAGTAATCTTCCAATACGGATGAAAATACGTAGAAGTGATTCGTAAGTTTATTGAGACGTTTTTAGGGGTTTGTTAATGTTTTTCCGAAATATCTACAGGTTTGTGTCTTCCAGAAATTAAAGCTTCAGCTGTAGGTATCGCTTCTGTTTGACGAAGGCAGACGGTCTGTCTACCCATCGACAACCATGAGATTCCTCAGCTCGTGTTCATTCTGAAAACGGAGAAAATAAAGTCAATCAAATGCTGAGACTAGTAATATCGAGTTCAGATGTCATTTGCCGATGTTGCGAATGCAGCGACGAAATCGTTTAAATTGCGTTCAATTTTATTGCGAGTTTTTTTTTTTTTACATCAGTATATATGTTTACAGCGGGCATTTGGAAAGGAACAATGAAACGATTATCGTTTTACTTTGGCTAACTAGTGAGCACGATACTAGCGCGTGTTTCTAAGTAGTGAAAACAGGCGTCAGCGTTTGCTTTAAGACGCCGATGCAGTTCAAAAGAAAGTGCCATTGGAGTGCCAGAATTTCTTCCTCCTTTCCACTGTATGCCCGAGACAGTTTAGGAAACACAAAAAAGCGGCTTATGACGCACACGTTTCCTGCTTCATGATTGGTTGTTCAGCGTTCTTATCGGTTAATGCCGCAATCTAATTGGGTGTGGGGCGATTATGAGACGCACGGGACTTGATACGCCCTGCGTTTCTGAAGCTGTCAGCGACTATATTAGCGACGTGCGCGGCCAAAAGTGTCACTGCAGTCGAAGTTCGCGATTGGTCAAACCGTTTTTCCTGTGTACTGATTGTGCCTGCTCAATCACCGGTTCATGGCAATTCAAATCTTGCCAATCAGGGCGAGCCAAATCTTGACCGTGACGGTCACGAACGGAAACCATAAGCAGGCCCCACCGAAACATCTCGGCGATAATGTCTCCTTTCTTTTTATTGCTAGAAATGATCGTTTCGAAAACTGAAGAAGTAGAATTATCTCGGCATTTAATTACTAATATGTCAAGTGGGGCTGTAAACAATACAGTGCATCGTTCCCACTTTCAGCAAACTGGACTGGAGTAACTATCCATGGCAATTTTGAGTACGCGTGCGTCACTGTCAGTGTCCCAATAGGCCATTTTTAAAAGTCGGATCGAGCCACACTAGTTCGGCCGTCATATTGGGGGCTACTCGACGCGGGTGATTGGGTCCGAATTCACGCCGAGCGCTGACGCAGCACCCCTGTCGAATGGATTTGGCCCGAGTAAGCACTCAACTCTGAGGCAGCAGTGGTGCCCAGTGCATACTCAAAGTGCGTGCTCAAAAGATACCGGCCTCGTAGCAGCTCTTCGAAGAAGCCCGCTTTTTTAAAAGGTTCTATCGTCCGAGATATGTTAACCCTCAAATGCTATTTGCGTCTTCTCATTCGATGGGTCCTCTCTAAAGGATGCCGACTGGATCTCCGAGTTTTGTGCGTGAAATTAGACGATTGGAATTTTTGTATGTTGCGTCCTGCGATTTCGGTCGCAGCCTCAGAAACCAATTGTATAAACGCTGTCAATTATACTTTTAATGTACGCGTTCAGAACCCTTCCAGAGAAATAGCGAAATTAAAAGTTTGTACTCGTTCGTTGCTCCGGGCCACGGTACAGGTTAAACCATTTCGGATGCATCAACCTTTCGATCAAAAACTGCAAAATAACATATATTTGAAACCAAGTTTGACGATTACCAAGCCGCACATAAAGGATAGTTCTGGAGTATCGTACGTGCAACTGCTTTTCGTTACTTTCTCTAGTGATGCAGCGCGGCAAGCAAGCTACACTTATAACTTGTAGGAGAAATCATTGAACGCGCAAGTGAGTATCTCTGAGAGAGTGCGAAGGAATGGGACAGTTTTCCCTGTATCATTTGTTATGTAATTAGTCCGATGGCTGTAAATGAGGGGGCAAAACCCTTCAAATCAATCAGGCTATAGCTCTTCTAGAAAAGTTAAACAAACATAAAATTGGGTCCCATTCAAGCCTCCCTCGAGGAAGAAATGGGACAGATGCAAGATTACACTAAAAATTTTTTAGCCAGTGAAGTTATACCGGTGTTTAAGACGAGGCAAAATTTTACAGAACATAAATATTAGTGCTCTAAACGCGATATGGTTCATAATAAGATGGTTCGGTAATGTTACAGGTTAACCTTAATACTGATCAATCAGTCAGAGCACCGGACCGCAAAGGGGTATTCACACGGGGGATGTTTTTTTTGGGAAGGGATGTGCGTGACGTCAGTGATCGGCGGAACCAGCGGGACTTCCTTTTCGACTCAAGCGTTCGCACGAACGGCGGGAAGCCGAGAGGGATATCAGTGTTATCAGACGCGTTTAGGTGTCGGATTCTCGACAACAGGGCTCGGTGCGCGCTGACGAGAGTAGAAACATGGAGGCGCACATGAAACGGCGATACGCGATTATGGCAGCATCGCTGTTAGATGCAGAAGACGACGATCTGCTTCCAGCTGAAAAAAAGACGCTTCTTGAACGGGTGGATGCAACACAAAGACCGTAAAGTCCCCAAAAACAGTTGTATGAGGAGCGGCCTGAGGACGGCATTGATGAATATCGAAGACTCCTTCGTGTGCCTCGGATGATATGCGCAACAGCGCAAGCCACAACAAATTAGGCAATCCAGATGTCACCGCCGGTGCCCCGCTGAGCAGAATCTCTAAAATTGCCACACACGCGAACAGAATACCGCCAATTGCGAGGAGATTGTGCAGCCCGAGCGGAAGCTTCTCCATCGCCCTGGGTTTTTTACGTCAGCGCGGCCCCCCGTAAAGACGTGACGTTGTCACTACGTTATGGGCATCCCGGGGGAGCAAAAAGAGGGATTTCTCCCCCGTGTGAATAACCCTTATACGGGGAGGATTGAAACACTAGCCGCATTTACGTGAATGCGACTTATTCGCATCGAATCCAGTTGTCACATTCAATGCGGTCATGTAAATGGCATAATGCGCTAAGGAAGCGCATCGCATTCAAGTCGCTAGACAGAGGTGGATGGAGACGGCGAGTGCACATTTATTCAGCCCATGTAAACGGAGGTCGCATCGCATTTTGGAGCAGGGAGGATTCTAAGAAGGCGCTCGCCGCGCGAGCGAGTACACAGCTGAGAACATGGCGGCGGCCAACCTCGTCGGCGGCGGCGTTTCGTGGTTGCCCGCAATTTTCTCCCGAGAAGAAATGCGCGCTTTTATTGCCATTTTAAGTGAGCGGAATACAGTTGAGCTGCTCGATGAGGGCGGCCCCCGTCCAAGCCTTACGGGGGACGACTTGCGCGTCCGAGGGGTCAAGGCTTCGGCGCAATCGCGAACGACGCCGAGAGCTCCGAGCACTGCATGGTAGCGCAGAATGAGCAGCTCCTACCTCGGTGCCGTTCCTGACTGCGCCGGAGCCTTTCGGCCTCGGGATCGCGGTCGGCGAGGTTTCTCGAGGCGAAGCGCGGTGGCGTCCTCAGAGCATTTGGAAACGATCTCGCTCGCCAAGGCGTGCGCAAATACGTCGCCTCTGGTCCAGAGCGGACCGCCTGGGCCACTCTGGACTTGGGTATTGATGTTTCTTCCGTCTCGTAACCATCGCAACTTCGTCCACCACACCGAAAACAACGGGCACGATCTTTCAACGCCTTTGGACGTCCTGTTCCGGTACCAGACGCACCACGTGGTGCGGCTGCTGCCGGAAACGCAGCTTTAACTTTGAGCTTTGACACGGCTTGGCGCCACCTTCGCGTAGGGCTTGTAGGGAGGCTCAAGTGAGGGTGGGTGCAACTGCTAGATCGGCGATCACGGGACATGGACGCCATTTAATTGCTAAATTTTGCTGGGAGTCTATGGGGCAAAGGGTCGTTTTCTTTCCTAACTCGGGTCATAAAAGCCCATTAAGGTGCTTGAATAATTTACACAAGGTATAAATGATTACTTTTCCATAGCCACCAGTTTTGTTGCGATAGGTTAAGTATTTTTTTAACGCGAAAAATGGTAAATTCCGCCATCTTGGACGTTGCTGCTTGTCTGGCAACTTTGCTTTCTCCGCTCGACGTTTGCAATTCTCGGAGCGAGAAGGAAGCGAGAGAGGCTGCGCCAAGGCGCTCGTTGCTTGCAATGGGAGGCGAGAGGAGGAAAGGCGCATGGAGGAACAGAGCTGCAACAGAGCGGGCGCCTGCTCTCTTGCAGGCAACACTGGCGCATATCCTTTCTCGAATCCTCTCCCTCAGGCGCCGCCATTAAATTGCAAACGCTCTCCAGGTTTTGAGTTGCGCCCACCCTCACTACAGCCTCCCTAAGGGCTTGGTGCGAATTCACGTAAACGTTGCCCAGCGTTGCCAACCTCCGCGGTCGTTTCTTCCCCTAAATTTATAAGAAAACTCCTTAGATTTTCAAAATTTGTGTTAATTTGCGTCAATATTGTGGGATTTTGCTAGCTACCAACATGTAGTAATTAAATGAAAATCCTCGTCGCCAAAAATGTAGTAATTAAAAGAAAATCCTCGTCGCCAAAATGTAGTAATTAAAAGAAAATGCGGACACCCGAGAAAATAAAGAAGAGCAGTGTTTGCGTGGGCCTGCGGAAAAACGAGGAGTCTCACATGCCGAAGAGGTGACCGGCGAGCCGGGCGCGGGAGCCCCGGACGGAAAGAGAGAGAGACGTCCGACGCGGTCGGTGGTTGACGCGTAACTGTTTATTTAACGGTCAACAACGTGGGGTTAAGCGCCACGGGGACGCAGCCCTGATTACACGGGCGCAATGGTGGAACAGTGGCGCCATCTAGGTAGTGTAGCGAGTGACTCACATGAACAAATTTAAATAATACACAACACAGGTACGATAGAGTAACCAAAGGGTTATTTATCTCAACAGCGGCGGCGATCTCAAAGGAGACGTCAAACCTAGTACCGCGGTCCTCACATCTCCGCGGCAGTGTAGACGACGTTTAGGGCTACATTACCGTGGGTCGGTTCGATAAATTACCTCCGTCGGTGCCAATGATCGACTACCTTGTCTCACTTTCTCGAATATAGCGGTAGAGAAGACACACCAAGAGCATTTATTATTACACTCTTTTAAAAGAACTACAATGTCCCCATCCAAAATGCGCCCCCCCCCCCTCCCCCCCCCCTCCCCCCGTGCCGGCAAGGTAAGAAAAGGTCCTTACCTGCCAGACGCGGGGTTCCGGAGAGCCAAGATCGGGGAAGCATCGGAGAAGTCGCCGATACACGTCCTATCTCTTTCGCGGTCACCGGACAAGTCCCCCTCCCGAAAGCGGGAAAAGTAGAAGCGAAAGCCTCCTCGCCTGTCAGCAGTGATTCGCATCCGAGCGGGGGGACGTAACGCGGTCACCCCGTGAAAGAGTGAGAGGAGGGCCCTCCAAGACAGGGGGCCCCCCGCTTCACGAACAGGTCGGAGCTCACGGCAAAGGAGGCCGATCGTTCCGACCCGCGGCCGTTATCGCAGCCATCGGGGAATGGAGATCACAAGAATCCCCACAATATTGAGATTATCGTTAGGGAGTAGCTTAAGAATAGTTGGGTGGCCATTTAGAGGTTAAATTGGCGTCGTTAAAACATTTTTACAAAATTATACTTTGTTACTTTGGCCTTGTGTGCCCCCCCCCCCCCCCCCCCCTAAAATCGCTGTTGTTTCCACTAGAGATTATCTCTGGCCCCGACAGTATACAAAGAAGCCCATTTCCCGCTGCACTTGGCCAGCACGAGAAGGAAAAAGGGAAGGAACGTGGAAGCGAAGGAACGTGTCTCTGAAGCCCTCTAAGACCCACCAAAAGACAATCCCTAGATTTGAACACATTTCCCTTTGCCCCTAAACAATGACGAAAATCTCTAGATCTAGGGAAACATCCCTAAGGGTGGCAACACTGACGTTGCCGCATCGCCCACATTCGAAGAACGATTGGAGTGGATGCGCTGAGGTCGCATTAATGTAAATAAGGATACTCTCCCATTTTTCCCACCTAGTGACTGTCCCGTTCCTCCCAAACTGCTTTGCACAAAGTTGCCAATTGTGGCAACAGATTGGACGTTAAGCATGGAACGCATGAGCAGTAAAACTGCGCCGCTCGCCGTTCGCCGCAATGCGCACCACAGGCGCACCGGGCGACTTTAACTCTGTATCGACCAGTTCTGAGCGATGCGGCGCAGCGCGGAAGTGACGTATAGGATGCCAACACCGGTTGCTATGAGACTGCCGCGCGGCACCCGTTTTCATTGCACATGTGTCACTGCTTTAGGGTTGAAATAGTGGTGGTCACACGCAAGCAAAACGCATCTTTTCAACACATTTTTTTCTACGCTAGTTCACTACAGTCTTTGGACCAGCCATTTTGGTTCAAGAAGCAAGCAATACGATTGCGTGCTACTTACTTTTGTGTGGCAGAATGGCAACCACAGTCTCAGACTATACACACCACGTCAAGCAGGCACACCATTAACATTGAAAGAACCGCTACCGTGGCGTCATGGATCGAGCTGTTCATGAAATTTTTGGAACTATTAACTAAAGAAATATATACACTGTCCGGCCACTCCTCCCTCTATCCCATTTCTCCCCACTCTCCCTACGGGGGACTGGTGGCCGACACCGCAGTTCGGAGCACGCGTGACAAAAGCTGGCGCTGCAGAGCCCATAAATCTTGGGCTCGATTCCCACCCCTGCTCGTTTCCCTCTGCATGAGCATGGTGCCATCGTTCCGTCGTGTGTCCCTTTTGCGTGATGCACGTTGGAAACCCCAGGCTAGCAGAGGTACTGCGCTTGCTAAATTTATCGTTTAGGGCAGAGACACATGACGCTCATTGTGGTTGAATAACTTCCCGCTGTGTATAGACTTGTAAACGTAAACACAACGCTAATATGTGATTGCAGGGTGGGCCAAAACATCTGACAGTGATAGCGACTCTTTGACTGTTCGATCCCCTTTAAACAACGGTCTTATTTAGGCGACGTGGCAGGAAGAGAGAAGCGATCACACAGTCATCTGTCTAAGTATCGTACATCAGTCATAAACAGGCAAGCGTTAGCTCTTAGCTCACACAACCCATATCGTAAGTTATACCTCGCAATTCAATGTCTGCTTTTGAATTTCTCACCAGTCATCGCGAATGGGTTATTTAGAACAAAACATACACATCCCGTTGAATGCACAGGTCTACTGTTATGAATTTCGTTTACAATTTTAAATATTTAGGTTAATGTTGAGTATGCCTTGAGTACATCAATGTTACTTTTTGTAAACTTTTATTGCACTTAACAATGGAGTCCACATTTTTTAGTTACTCTTCACTACACTTCAATAAACTTAAGACCCGGGACGAAATAAACCGGACAACTATGTACAACGTCCTTGAGAGTTATACATTATGATCAAGACCTGAGACTGTGGTTTAAAAAATGAAAACTCGTGAAGGAGTTTCACGAGTTTCCGTTTTTCAAACCAGTCTCAGGTTTCAATCATCATGTATAACTTACACCAGCTCGCATGCACTTCAACCGTTTTTTCGTCTTTGGAAGGTTTGTGATATACTGTTTTCATTTTATCTCGTCTCAGGGTTATCTGTGGTTTCATTTTATTATTATTTTTCGAATAGAATAAACGCTTTGTAGTTTTTTTTTGTTTTTTTTTTGTGCGCGGCTGTGTCCCAATATTTAGAGAAGGGTTGTACCTGATCAGGACGACATATAAAACATGAATGAAACAAATACCTGAAAAATGTGAAGAATCCGAGGTTACGTTTGGACTATATATGTCGCAAATACAAAAAAAAAAAAAAAGAAAAAAGAAAAAGACGGGTGATTTTAAAGGTGATTGCGTTTACGAAAACGTATGACTTGTTACAATGTATGCCTTACCGTCGGAGTGTTTTCTGACTCCTTGGACGTCCTGTTGCGTTTGTAGTTGTTCATGAGCTTCCGGACTAAAGGGCAGATGTGCTCAGGGTCGACTTGGCCCTCATCGTTTCGCTCTGCGTTTTTCAAAGCAAACAACACAAACATCTTGTTAAAAAAAAATAGCTGGACTCTAATTATCTTGTTATTAAATTTGGCTCAAGTATACCGATGGTCGATGGAGAGCTTGCAGCTGGAAAAGCCACTACAGAACGGGCAGAGGAGGATTAACAAAAAGCGTGAAACCGGTCCAGCTCCTTAATAAGTTACGAGAATGTATTAACACGCCTCCGACTGCACACGGCGGGTGACGCTTAAAACGTTTCCGACTGCTTACGATCGACTACTGGGCAGCCGTTTTTAAGCAGTCGCAGGAGGCTTAAAACCGGTTTTAAGCCTCTGTGGTCGTAAGCAGTCGCAAGTGCGTGAGCCGAGGATAGGTCAAGAATGGTTCAGATACTTGCGACCGACTCCGACGAGACCTGTTCTTAACCCTCTTGGGATAGCTTACGACCGGCAGCGCAGCTGCAACGATGGCTGTCGTAAGCGGCTGACAAGCCGGTTGCGTCGGAGTCGGTCGCAGTCAGTCGCAAGTGTGTGAACCAGCCTTCAAGTCTGGACGCAGTCAACGCTACGAGCTGATGGAACCAATCAAATAGTGTTCAGAGCGAAGTTCACCGGGCCTTCTTTCTACGTGCTTGGTTCAGTGATGATAGAGCACGTACAGAAACATGATGATGGTTGGGGTTTAATGGCGCAAGAGCGACTTTGGCTATATTGCGCCAGACAAAATTACTCAAGACGGCTATACTAGGAAAAGAAAGTTTTCATGGCAAAAGTTACAGCTGATGTATATATCCTGTCTTTTTAAGAAAGTCAAAAACTCGGTTAAGTGGCGCGAAAGGATGATCACCAAGCAAAAACATAGGATGAAATGGAAGGTGACCTCTAAAAAGTTCAGGAAAACTTAGTCGGCGATGTTGGTGATGAAATCTACAATGCCATAAAATGTGCAAAATTGTCAGTACTTCCCAACAATGAGCACAGAGCTTTTCGTCTTCGCCGCAAAGAAGATGTAGATGAGTCAGACGTGAATGGCCAATCCTAAGGCGGCATAAGAGAACCTCTAGTCGACGTTCCTCATGGAACGAGCTCTCCCACAGAGCCAAGATGGGTTTAATGACATGAAGTTTATTGTTGCACTCCGTATCCCACTCCGACTGCCATGTCTTGAAAAGTGATTTCATCAAAAGTGGCCTAAGGTCCTGATAGGGTAACCCAAGAGTTGTTGCCGAGTCCTTTGCACTTGCAGCATGTTGATCTGCTTGCTCATTCCCTCGAATTCCTACATGACTGGGCACCCAGCAGAATCTTATGGTGTGTCCAAGTTGGAGAGCCTGGTTTATTTTAAACAGTATATGTAGTACAAGGGGGTTCTTTGTGGGAAGTTTCGAAGAAAAAGCCTGTATCACGCTTTGTGAATCGACAAAAAGGATAGCCTTTAATATTTTGTTACTCATGATATGTTCAATGGCTAGAGAGACACCATAAAGCTCTTCAGAAAAAAATGCTTGCCATACCATCCATTCGCAAAGCTTTCTCAAAGGCACACGAATATACGGCACAACCAACAAAAGATGAAGATTTCGACCCATCAGTATAGAATTCAGTATAATCTATATATATCTCTCCTGCAATGACTGAAACTCCTGCTGCAGGACTTGAGGGGAAATAGCCCGTTTATTATACTTTGTGAGTGACCAGTCGCAGAAGATCGGCACTTCGTCCCATGGAGCAACTTTTTCTTTCTGCTTTAGTATGACAGCATCCTTGAGTGGAAACTGAAGGAAGGCACAAAGGCTTTGAATGCGGAAGTTAATAGGACGAACAATACATGGTTTGTTTTCAAAAAGTTGGGAGAATCGACAGGTACGGGTGGTACTGTAGGATGAATGTTGTGGGTTAGAATAGACCCTGCAAGCGTAAGAAAGGCTAAAGTACTGTCTCCGCTTCTCAAGAGACATCTGAAAGGTGTCTGCATACAAACTCAAAACAGGTGATGTGTGAAAAGCACCCGTAGCCAGTCGGAGCCCCAGGTGGTGAACCGGATCCAGCATCTTTAATGCAGATGGACGTGCAGATCCATACACAATCACGCGATAGTCGAGGCGAGACCGAACTAAGGAATTGTAAAGTCGCAGGAGGCAGCGCCTGTCAGACCCCCACGAGTTGTGGGACAACACTTTGAGAATGTTCGACTACTTTAAGCATTTGCGCTTCAATTCCTTCAAATGAGGTACAAAAGTGAGTTTCTTGTCGAGAATTATGCCCAGAAATTTGTGTTCCTGGTGAACAGGTATGTCAATGTGGTTTAAATGCAAAGAAGGATCAAGGGACAATCCCCGGCGGAGCGAAAAGGGAACGCAGACAGTTTTTTTCGGGAGAAAAAGTGAAACCGTTTTCATCTGCCCATTTGCTCATCCTATTGACTGTAAGTTGTAGTTGTCGTTCACAGCTGGAGAGGTTGCAAGAAGAAACGGAGATCTGCACATCATCCACATACAATGAGTAAAACACAGACGGTGGTATCACACTCGCAAGACTGTTAATTTTTACAGCAAACAGAGTAACACTTAAAACGCCTCCCTGATGGGCTCCATTTTCCTGGGGTAACACATCGGACAGTGTAGAACCCAAGCGGACCTGAAAAGTCCGGTCGCTTAAAAAATTCTGTATACACTGGAGCATGCGGCCTCGTACTCCATAGCTGTGCAGATCCCGAAGAATCCCATACCTCCATGTGGTATCATAGGCCTTTTGCAGATCGAAGAATACCGAGACACAATGCTGTCGATGTACAAATGCCTCACGAATACAAGTCTCCAAACGAACCAAACGGTCTGCTGCTGATCGTCCCTCCCGAAATCCACACTGATTAATGTCCAAAATATATTCTTCCTCAGGAAAATACACCAGACGCCGGTTGATGAGCCTTTCATAAGTCTTCCCAAGACAACTAGTGAGCGCAATGGGACGGTAACTCGCTGGAAGAGAGGAGTCTTTACCAGGCTTCAGAAGAGGAATAATGTGGGCACTTTTCCAGCATCGAGGGAAAGTAGCTACTTTCCATATATGATTAAAAAACATAAGCAAATGACTTAATGATGCTGGGTACAAGTGCCTCAGCATTTCGTAATGAATCCTGTCTGGACCTGGTGCAGACTGCTTTTTTACACCAAGCGCGACTTCCAGTTCGCACATACTGAATGTCCTATTGTAAGCTGCCCGGTCATATCCTGACATCGAGATCGATTGCTTTTCAGCAGTAGACTGAAACTTCTTAAACTTTACACTAAAGTTGGAAGAACTCGATACATGTTGGAAGTGCATACCAAGAACATTTGCCTGATCTTTAAGAGATACGGCAGGCAAGGGAAAAAGAGGGATTCGGAAGGGTTGATAGTCTCCTCGGACTTTTCGCAGGCGGTCCCACACTTCCTTCGCTGGAACAAGGCTATTTATAGAAGAGGCATATTTCGTCCATGAAACCCTTTTAGTCTGTTTTCATGTCCGATTCGCCTTAACCCTACTTTTCTTGAGTGCAATTAGGTTTTGATTTGTAGGGTACCGACGAAAAACTCCCCAGGCTTTATTCTGGTCCTCGCGACTGGTTGTGCACTCCTTATTCCACCACGGTTTGCACCTCTTAGGAGGATGTCCAGATGTTTGAGGAATAGAATTCAAAGCCGCACTAATTATACATTCAGTGACATAAACTGTCGCATTGTCGGGGCTCATAGTACAAAGCGAAGATGGATCAATCACAGCCTCTAATTCAAAAATAGACCAGTCGGCATTCTCTAACTTCCACCTAGGAAGGCGAGTCGGAATCGATGGAATCTGTTTAACGCTTTCTAAAACATTGGGAAAATGATCGCTGCCAAAAGGGTTGTTTAAAACTTGCCATGAAAAACATGGGAGTAACGATGGTGACGATGAAGACAAATCAATAGCTGTGGATGTGTTACGGCGGCACTAAAAAATGTTGCTTCTTTTTGGTTCAAAAGACATGATAATAAAAGTCGTTCAATGACTACACCACGAGAGTCCTGTCGAGGACTACTCCAGAGGAGGTGGTGGGAATTAAAATCGCCAAGAATTAAAAAGGGCTCGGGCAGCTGGCCGACGAGTCCCTGAAGTTCTTGCAAATGCAGCGGAGTGTTGGGTGGCAAGTAGAGGGATACAAGGGTAATGAGACGGTCAAGAAGAATTCGAACTGCAACTGCCTCAAGTGGAGTCTGTAGAGGGACTGGAGCACAGGCAACTCCACTCTGTACTACCACTGCTACACCACCCGAGGGGTTTGATGAAATGCGGTCCTTTCGGAAAATCTGATGACGATGTAGCACTTTTGCGTGGGTGTCACTCAGATAAGTCTCCTGTAGGCACAAGGCCACAGGACGGAGCTCATCGAGAAAAAATGTATGTCATCGATGTTCCGAAAAAGGCCGCGACAATTCCACTGCATAATGCTAAAATTGTGGACCATTGTAAAGTTTATAATAAAAAATAAAATTAGCTGTCAAAAGTAAGCAAACTTTCTACGACTTAGAAGTCTATCTTTACACGCGGAGCATTTTTCTTTTTAGAGGTGTCATTCGGCCTGCCCGTGGTGCCACCGGGGGCCGGAAGTAGAGATTCGGAACTTGAGTGAGGTCTGTCCTCGTCGGACCTTGACCCACTCTCGTCCATTGGCTCAGCTGGAGCCAAAAGGGGCTCCTCCTTGGAGGCCTGTAACCTCGACGGCTCCCCCAGTCTCCGAGATCCACCAGAGGCAGAGGGACCAAGTCCCCGACCTCGCATGGCTGGGACGGAGGAGTAGGGGGTGCAGAACCCTGTACAGGGAACGCAGACCCCTGAGCTCGGGTGGATCCCGAAGGACCCGAATCCACCCTGTCGTGTCGGGGTGGAGCAGTGGGCACTGCTCCAGAGGTACCTTTCTTCTGCGACGGGGTGGCCCCCGTCTGCTCGGTTGATGAATCCGAGCCTTTCGCACGGTTGGGAAGGGCGCCTGCCT